ATAAAATGAAAATTCATCATAAAATCATTTTTTGAAAGATTGTTTACAACTGTGTTTTTGATTTTTTTTTTTTTCAGTTGGGACTACCATAGGATGACAAAGAAAATGTTGGAGTGAGAGAGATGAAAGATAAAGAGTTGAGAGAAATCAGGGTGGTGAGTAAGAGTTTTGGGGTTTCTTGTTTTTTTTAGTTTTGAGAGTGAAAATTATTCAAATAGTCTTCACCTTAAAACTTAGAATCCATAATATATGAGAGTATTTTTGTTTGCTAAAACTCGGTACACATTGCTAAAATATACCAATTGAAAAACATACTACGCAAGTTAACAAACCCATATATATATATATATATAACATTTATACAAATAATAAATTTGATTGAATTTAAAAAGGGACAATATTATTTCATTTTGAAAAAAAAAATACAACTAAATTGAATTAAATAAACATGTATAACACGTAACATTGTCTGTTATCTAATACTGATAGTGTTATGTGTCATACTAATAACCCTGTTATGTGAAAAAAAAAAGAATTTTAAAGTAAAAAAAACTATAAATTTATTTGTAACATATAGTTAATGTTGTTAGTAATTTTTTTCTAAACAAAAACCTAACTAAGACACTATTTTCAAAAAGTTAAAACAATTAAAACATTTTAAAAAAACGGAAACTAAGAAATTTTCTCACTAAAATGGAGATCAAGCAAGTAATTAAGGGAAAAATATTATGAAAATGTTATTCCACGTTTTTTCTATATAACATTGGTTTGTGGTCGTTCAATGCAAACCAAGGAAATCAATATGTTTTTTATGAAACTTTAATTTCTTTTTTCCTGTTGACGTTTCATTTCTCTAATAATGAAAAGGTTTTTTTCTTTCTTTGCACTTTCATAAAATTAAAATTCTTGAGCACCTCTCATTAAAATATATCATTACATGACATATAAAATGAATGTCAACATTATGCCTTCATTGCACGTGCGTTAAGTAAGAGTCTTGTCTAATAAATGATTTGTGTATTTTAAAAATATTATTTATCGCACAAACGTCAATCTCTCCAAAAAGAACTACATACACGTTATTGAAAATATTTAGTGCATATGAATATGCAATCCACAATTAACTTTGAATAAAATTAATATTATTTTGTTAAAACAATATGATTTCTACTAAAAACTAGTAAGGTTAAACCACTTTTGGAGTTATTATTTATGTTGGATTTTCGAGTTAGATCACTTTGTTAATTTTTTTCCAATTGAGTCCTTAAAAATAAAAAATTGACTCACTTTAGTCTCTTTCATTAAATTGGGTTAACAAAGTTAAGTTTTTTATGACCTGACACCTTGACGTGGAAAGTTTTTAGTATATAGCCTTCGCAGAGGTTTTTATAAGTGGAATTTCATAACATTAAACATTTTAAATTAGTTATTTCTGAAATGTATAATGTGATTAGGAATTAGGGTTCATTGAAATTGGGATTAAAAATCTGAAGTAGAGTGTTCTTGGACGTTGCGCGAAGTCGTTACTAGAGAGGGTATTTGGTTAATTAGGGTTTTGAAGGTTCGTGATTGTAGTGATCCTTGGTATCTGGAGGTTTGACGTGAATCGCGAAGTCCTTGGACGTGTATCGCAAGTGGTTGGAGTGAAATTTTGTGGAAGGTTAGTATCTATAGTATTGGTATTTTTCAATTTGATATTCAGTGTTTTTTTGTAGTTATGTGGCCATGCTTTTTAGAATGTGGGGTTGGGGTTGTCCGAAAACGTGTTGTATGCATATTGCGGTTCTGGTCCCCATAGTTAAAGTTCCTTTCTTCTGTCATTATCACTTGGTATTCATTTTAATATACGATGTTTCTTGTCGTTTTATGGTTATTTATAGGTGTAGAATATTGTTGATTGTGTTATCAGTTATAGAGGATGATATAGAGGTTGTTATTCACCATGGGAGGAAGTTCGTGAACGAAGGGTGCCTCAAGTATGAAGGTGAAACTGATACTATGTATTTTGACCCTGACTTGTGGAGTTACTTTGTTGTAGTGAGTGTAGTAAAAGAGCTTGGGTATGATGGATTTAAGGTATTGTGGTTCTCTATTGGATGTGGTTCTGTGTTAGATGATAGGCTAGAAGCATTGTGTGATGACATAGGAGCCATGCATATGGCAAATTTAGCTAAGGTAAATGGTCAGGTTCATTTATATGTTGTGCACATTGTGTCTCAACATGATGTCATTCACATGATTGAATATGATGTTGATGAAGGACGTGAGGAAGTTGCACCAGTAATGCATGACGGTGGTAAGGGTGCAGTGTTGGATGAGAGGACAAAAGAAGATGATGGTGGTGTAACTGAACAGTTTGGTCAGGCCACAAAAATACATGATGTTGATGGCGTATGTCGTAGCCAATCCTTGGGAGATGGTGATGTAACACAATAGTTGGATGAGTGGGTAGGTGCTAACAATGACAGGATAGAAGTTGATGATGATTAGGCTGAGAAAATAGAAGCAAATGATGTTGAGGGTGAGAGAATAAAAGTTGATGAAGGTCATGGTGAGAGGAGAGAAGCAGATGATGTTGTCGGTGAGAGAATAGAAGTTGATGATAATCATGGTGAGGCTAAGAGGAGAGAAGCACATGATGGTGAGGGTGAGAGGTTAGAAGTAGATGATGTTGAGGGTGACAGGTTAGAAGTAGATGATGTTGAGGTTGACAAGATAGAATTAAATGATGGTGAGGCGAACAAAATAGAAGTAGTAGAGTTGGAGGACATAAAAGTACAAGTCTGTGAATGGAGTACATTAGATGATGATGATAATGGTGAGGTGAATAGTATGGATGGGTTAGTTAACATAAATGTCTAGTATGACTTTAGAGAAAGTGAAAGTTCTGGTAATATGGAGGTTAAAGTTGAATTTGTTTTACTTGAAATAGAGAGGTCAGATTGGAGTGCTATTTCTGAGTCAGATTTGGAAGAACATGACATTAGTGATAGTAGTGTGGCACAAAGTGGGAAAATTTTGTGGTGAACATAGATGAATATTCATGGTCCTGCAGAAAATAGAGCTTTAGTGGAATACCTTATGTTCATGCATTGGCAGCAATGAGGTTTCTAAACATAGATGGAGACGACTACATACCTTCTTGCTTTCAGAAGTCAACCTATGAAGAAATTTACTCCTTTATTATCTATCCTATTAATGGAAACAATCTCTGGGAGATCACCCAATATCCTAACGCCATGCCTCCATAAAAAAAAAGTTGTGTAGCAGACCTAAGAAGTAAAGGAGGTTAGAGCAGTGGAAGATGAAAAATGATACCACAAGAATGACAAAAGGTGGATTGCTGAAGAGATGTAAGTTGTATAGGGAAGTGGGCAAAAACATAACACGTCCCAAAAGAAATGAAGAACCTGTTGTGCAACCATAGGGAGAAGAACCCATTCCATTTTCTGAGGGTCAAGCACATGCGAAAGAAGTTTAACCATAGGACGACATGTCTAATAAATATTTTAATACATGAAAGGAAATGTAATAGATGAAAGCAATATTTTATCAACAATGTTTTATGTTTCAGTATTGTAGATATTGGTATTTCTATCAACAATGGATGACTACATTTTGGTATTAATATAACGTATGTTATTATGTCCATTTTCATATCAGTAATGGATCTCTACATTATGTGCCATTAACTGTTGTTGTACTACTTATGTCCATCATAGACTTATGTTTTTTTTTTATCTTTAATGAATATTGACAAGAATGGGAATAACTTATTCTTGTTTTGAGTAATGGGTCTTGAATTCAGAATGTTACTGTAAAACTGATCCTGTTAAGTTCAAAGTAATGTTTTGGAGTTACTTTAAAAAGCTTGGTGTTAATTTCATTTTGTTAAAGTAACGTTGGTCAATTATGAATGATAGATTTTATGCGTCCTTCCTGTTCCACCCTCCATCTCTGCGAGAGCTGATAAAGCGGAATTGCTTTCGACACTTATTGCAAGTGGAAGATGAACACGAATGCCTCATAGACATTCTTGCGTCTTGCGCTTTCCCACTTTCGTCTTGCAAACTTTCAAGTGCTTTCCAACCTTCAAGAACAATAAACCTTAAATCCTCATGTTTACATTTAACATCATCTACACGTTTTAAAATCCACCAACAAACATTAATTTTTAAATGTTTAATGTTATCAATTTCCATGTATAAATCTCTGCAAATGTCACATACTAAAAGCTTACCACATCAAGATGTCATGTCATCAAAAACTTAATTCCATTAACCAAATTTAACAACAATGACTCAATTGAGTCAACTTTTTACTTTTAAAAACTTAATTGGAGAAAAAATGAAGAAAATAATCTAACTGAAAAAACCCAACATAAATAAGAATGGAAAACCCAACATAAATAAGAATGGAAGTTATTTAACAACTAGTAACTACTAAAAAATAAAGTAGGTGTATTTGTATTTAAAAACTAGTAACTACTTAAATTATTTTTAATTGATTTTTAAAATTTATTATATTAAAAAGTATTCGTTTTCTTAAAAAAAACTTAAACAAACATTCCAAAATGATTCTAGATATTCAAACACTTCACGACATGATATGTCAAAATCAAATCCCAATGGGTAATCACTTTGGAATATAATTTATGGCTTGATTTAAGCGGAAATTTCTTAGAGATTTAGTCATCTCTTGTACAAAGTGAGATGAGACTTGATATAAAAATTGTTACTATTCATCACTTTAGCTGATTCACGTTATCAAGGCTAAAAATTATCTTTTTTTGCAAAGTTGATTAGTTAAAGCATTTATTTAAGTCTAATTTGACTAGGACAACCTATTATAACCATAACAAACAAAGGTACTCGCATTAGTAAGTTTCTTGTACAACTTTCAGAAAGTTGCCATGAAAACCATTAATGGCAAGATGGATTAAATTAGCAATAGCTAGAACTTTCCTCGTTTAAACCACTCCACATTGCCGCTGATATGTCATTTTCAATTGTAAATATTCACTTCATTTTGAACCACATCATGATAGTACAGCACTTACATATATCAACTAATGTCAAATTGAGTAATCAGTTTCATGCAATGGATTAAAAATAAGCTTGGCAAGCAAAGAAAGTTTAAGAAGGTATCCACGAGTTACTTCATCATGCTCCAGTTGCTTCCACCATTTCTTGTTCAACTGTGCTTGGGGTAACTGGGTAGTAATGGTAATGCAGTTCACCAACATCATCACCAGACAATTTCTTCCATCCATTTGGTCCCACATAGTATACTAAAATCATATAAAATTTATAAATATAAATGATGCATCAAAAATAGCACCAAGTCAACTATAATGAGGATAAAATTACTGTATTAATATTTTCACCCGACTAAGTTAGAGACCATGGATTATTTTCGATTGTTCATTTATATGGATATAATAAAATGCACATTATGTTTTGGACGATCATGAGCAGTTGTGCTCCGGAAAAAATGGGCAAGTGTACCTTAAGAGAGGTTATATCAATTTAGTTACCATGCATTTGTCAGTGTAAGTCTATTATTTTCTTGCTGGTGAGGAAGAGGATAGAAACAAAAATGTCATGATTTAGAAGCAAGTTTGTGATGTAGCTGGGTTAATAACGGGGATAGAAAGATAGATACCGCTAGCAACTCCACCGCTGGCCCCATCACGAAATGTTGCGTGATAAATTGCTCGTCGAGCAAGTTCAGCTGCCTCCTCAATTGACAAGTCATATCGGTACCTGGTATAACAAGGAAAATGTCAAAAAGAAAATTGACATGAGATTTATGCGAGATAGTTAAATACATAGTTTAACTAACCCGCTGTCCAATACACCATAAGCATATGGCGAACCAGATCCAACAGAGAATCTAGTGCCTTTAAGTCTTCCTCCTTCACTATCAACATAATATAGACCAGGTCCCTAAAGAGAGATTAACGGTTGTAAGTAGCTATTGGACTAACTGAGCATAACGTTGTTCAGTAACTTGACAAGTGAATTACCGTCTCATCCCATCCAGCAATCATGGTACCAACCGATAACCCCATTCCACGATAAGAGTATAAAATATTGGCAAGTAGCTTGGAAGCTCCTGTTACTGAAATTCTTCTTTTATTCGCCAACTCATGCAAACGACACTACAAAAAATTATGGAACAGATTAGAGAATACATTTCCATTTCCAACTTCATAAACACAAAAGGATAAAGCATCTTGGAAAGGAAAACCAAAAGATAGAAAACCATACAACTTTAAGTTTATATGAATCAGTCATTTAGATCTTCTGTTAGGCTTAGTTCTGTTAGTGGAAGAGCTCCAGCTCATTAATGACCCAAGCCAAGTGTCCATAATCTAGAAGTTTTATATCATTAGGAATAAAAAATGACAGAATGGGGAAAGGCTTAAAGATCTTGCTGACTAGGCAAGTTAAGCAGAAATGGGTTATATGTATAGACATGTAGGAGGAGGTCATCAGTTAAGCGGAAGAAGGGAGGAGGGGGGAGCAGTTTTTAGCAAGCCTCCTGGGCTGTAAGGTTACAGGAAACTGTGTGCCATAAATCAAAAAGGAAAAAACAATAGTATATGGAGATTAAAAACACTAGAAATCTAATGGAAATTTATAAAAAGGATAGTACAAGTTAATGGTTTGATGTCAACCAGACTATTAGCCTGCTATTGTTTTGGCAAGAACTGCCGTGATAAATGATCAGTTATTTAGTTAGTCAATCTGAATTCATTACCAGTTCAACCAAAGAGTGTAACTAATGGCATACCCCTAACCATGGCCTAGCACATTCATGAAGAGTTAGAGTTATCTATGGAAGATGGGCCTAGAATCTTTTTCTTAGGCCATCTTAAGCCATCATGAAGATCCTAGAGTAAGAATAATTTTTGGACCTTGTATTTTGGGCCAAGTAGTCAAGATTTTATTTGGGCTTTGTTTATGGGTCAAGTAGTCTAGATTTTATTTGGACTTTGTATTATGGGCTTAGTATCGTAGGATTTCCATTTGGGGCCTTGCATTTTGGACAAGAAGAGTAAGGTTTTGACCACCTAAGTCAACATTGGGCCTTAAGCCCAACATTGACCAAGGGGTAAACATTTTTGACCAAGCTTGGAGGACAAGGAGCTCATTTTCGTCCTAGACATGTGGAGGCACCCTATTTGAGAGTTTTTCCTCTTAGTTAGTGGCCATGTGTCACCCTAGGAATGGAGAGTTTTTCCATATATAGTGGCCACATGTCACCCTCTCATTTGAGTGGATTTTTGCCACTTGTCTCCTTCCTATTGGAGAGGATTTCTTCTTGCTCTCCAAGCCAACCAAGGTGGCTCTTTTAGGTTAAAGTTTCTGCCTATTTAGAGACATCTTAGCCTATAAATAGAGGTGTCTCTCCTTCATGTATTCACCTTTGAAATTAGAGTAAAGTTATCCTGTCATTTTGTGCACACAACCCCTTCTAAGGTCAATCTAGGCTAGAGCAACCCAAGTAGCCTCCTCTAGCCACCTTCCTCCAAGAGTTGGCCCAACCTCTCTTAGAGAACCACCAAACACACCTTCCATCACCATTCAAACACACAAAACCGTGACAACATCCACCTTATACCACCACCATTTCACATTTCATCAAAAGCCATGAGCATCTTGATCTTTTGGCTTGGTTTCTTCTAGATTTGGCTTGTCTTAGCTAGAGCATTGCCATCAGAAACTTAACAGATCAAAAATCAACCGATCCAAAAAAATCAATGTCAATTAAGTAACATTCCAAGTACCAATATATCTTGTTAGATGTTATTATATAAGAAAAAGTAACGAAAGCCTTCACATTGAAGTGCATGCACATATTATTTATATATATATATATATATATATATATAATAATAATAATAATAATAATAATAATAATAATAATAAAATACAGTAGCCCCTTGAGATTTATAAAATATATTCAAACATGCTGGCCAAGCACATAATTATAAATTAAAGTTGATATAGGTTAAAGGAAAACAAATTATTGACAAGGTAAATAAAAATTAGATGTGAAAGCTATATCACACCACTGGGACAACTAGATATAACGAGAAAGGAATTGGAATTGAAATTGAAAAATGCATTTTACTTACACAATTGCACCCTATAAATTATTCTCTCTACATTTCATCACGGTAAAAATAATAAGAGAAAATTAGAATTAAGAGTTTAGGATATCTCTAAATTACATAACCATCCATCTAAAGAATTTCTCTTAACAAAGTTACGTCTGAATAGCAGACTACCCACCCATCATTATTTCCAATTTACCCACTTTTTTATGCTCCTTCTTTGCATGCAAAAACAGGCTAAATGCTTCCTATGCACAAGAAATTTTTAGGAAATGAATATAAATATACTTCAAAAAGAAGGTTCATTGTCACCTACTCCACTATAGCAGCAGCAACAATATCAATAACAAAATTGTAAGGAAATAACCAAGGAATGCCAAGGTGTAGGAGACTAGGGCAGAAACTCGGTAGGAGACTGGTCTAAAAATATAAGTACATAACAGACAGAACAGAAGCAAGCATACAAGATATAAGGTTCAAGGTATCATAGATTACCTTGATACCGAGATTCCTGTGCCAAAATTGACAATCAGCAGCACCTCCAGCCATAGTCCCAAGCATGTACGGATTGATTTCAATAATCTTCTTCACAGACTGCGATGCTGGAGACAGCCAACACTCAAAGTTCAAGAACTCACGCATCATTTAATTCGAAGCAAGTAACAGAAAATATCTGACTAACTTACCCAAAGGAACAAAGAAAAGCGAAAATGCTATTAGATTTAACAAGCACTCACATATATATCCTCCCATGCTAGCTCGAGAATCAGCTGCTACCATGACGCCCTCCTTAAAGATAAAAGCAAGAGTCGTTGTACCCTTCGCGGGCTTCACCATCTGAATAGCCTCTTTCAAGAACCCATCGAACTATCACCAACATACACACAAAATACCCAAACGCATCAGTTAAAACCATCAACCTTCAACCCTTCTCTATTAAAATTTAAACCCTAGCCAGCTTTCAATTTTCTTTCCCCAACAATTTCAGAAACAAAACCTCAGCCCAAAATTCCCCTCTGAAACTTTTAACAGTTTCAAAACCTGAATACTCACATCATTGGAATTCGGAAGGTCGAAGGACGGAGCGGCGGAAAGTTCTCCAACGACGTCGCTTTGAGGTGCAAGCAGTGAGGGAAACGATTCAAGACCAGTGGTATCGAGCTTCATGATGGAAGATTAGTGACCTAAATGAAAACAAACCTTAAAATCAAAATAACATAGAAAAGTAGATAATATATATATAAAATGGGGAGATATGAAAAATAATCGCAAATTTTGAGAACAGTTTTGGCACCTTTTCTAGTAGAAGAAGCAATTGCAGTGAGATCTCAATTGTCGAGTTTGAGCAATGAGGGAAAAAGTAGAAAGACACTGTTTTTCAGTGTTGTGTTGTCTTGAGGAAAAAGGCAGGACTTATTTGGGCCGGCTCGGCCCACATGTATGTGCTCCTTTTATAATGGCCCATGTTTTTGCTAAGTTTTCTTTTTCTTATTTTTTTACTCTCTTTTTTCGCTGCATCTAATCACAAACTATTATATGATAAATTTATTGAATTTTAAAATAATTAGCCGAGAAATAAAAATAATAGTACTTCTTATAAATTAATGATATAAAGATTATATTTTGTTTTCCTCACTCTAATTACCATAGGCTGTTCCTTCCTGTACTCCGTCAAATTTCTCCCTCCCCTCCGTTAAAAAGCTTCGGTTTCCGTATTAGGAGGGAGTGATTGCTTTCTCCAAAAAAATTTCCAGAGTTGTTTATAGTGTTCCGGAAATAAATTCCGGAAGTGATGAGGTGCTAGAGGAAATAGACTGGAAGCAATAGCCATTACTAATAATGATTGGCACATGCTTATAGCCCAAAACATCTATAACTGTTATTAAGATGTTTGGTTGTTCAACAGAATGTATAGATTATTGGAAACAAAATTTAATTATAACAAAAATATCAATATACTCTTATTTTACTTTTTTATTAGTAATATTTATATAATTTAATGTATAATTATTTTCTCTTTTACTTTCTATAAAAAAAATAATAAAAACCTTAATAACTTTTTTTCTCTTACAAAACTACTTCAAATTTATCTCGTTCTTTTTTCTGAATAAACTTAAAACAAGGTGAAGTCACACTTCAAAAGGCTTTTATATAATTGTTTATTTTGTGTTACCGTGCATCTTTATTACTTCATCATAGGTCAAATCCTTCATTTTCACCATCACTTTTCTACCTTATTTAATTGCTTGTCATGGCATTTTGATCTCAAACTCTTGCTAAGAAAGAAACCCTTCACATGTGAAGGTTGTATTACAATGTTGCATCTTCATATTATTGCAAAATGCCAACAACAAATAATTAAAACTACGAACAAAGATTTTTCGAAGTGTATATATTTATTATTCTTAAAAATTTATTTGTGGTGTGTTGCGTAAGCCCTTAGAATATAACATGAACTTTTCAAAAAAATTTGAGAATATCAAAACTAGTAAGGAACTCTAAAAAAAGTAAAATAATAAACCCAAAATGTTATAAGAAAGAAAAGAGAGAAGGAAGAAATTAAGAGAAATAGGAGAACGAGAGAAAAATGTGTGTTTTGAAGGTGAGTACAAATCTCTATTTGTAAAGATGGAAAAGGATCAAAATCATAGTCCACCAATGACTTGTGGAACCTTGCATATTTGGTGAAAATTGTGCACTGATCCAGTCTTGTGATTTTCGTTTGAACACATGAGAGAAGCAACATTTAAAAAGTAATGTTCATCCATTACTTTCTTTGTAACTAAGTTTTTCTATATCAAGTTTTACAACAATCTCCCACAAATTGCAAAAGACTAGAAAGAAAGATTGAAAGAAAGAGAAAGAAAGTAATTTTCATGGGTTTTATAAGATGTAATGCATCAAAGCTGGTATAGCAAGTTATATGAACCAGTCCTAGATCGAAAAACTTAACACAGTGTAGATGGTATAACAAGTTATATGAATCAAGGACGCTTGACACGTGTTAAAGGTTCATCAATCACAATACACCCCTACAATGCTTGTTGTTAACGCTATGTTGCGCTTACTAGGTCATGCACGTGCCTAGTATTTGTCCGTGCTCTAAAGATTATGTCTAGATCCCATGCAAGCGACCTCATTTGACACTCATATAAGTGATTTCATCAAGTGTATGCTGCAAATCATATTCTACCCATAAGGGATATGAAGATTATTAAAACTTTTATTTAAACTAAAATTCTTTCACCTAAAAGAATTTTATTACAAAGTTTAAACTCTCAATAATGCAGTTTCTATCACTTTCACATATACCATAAGAATGAACATATTTGATTTAAAAATCAATTTAGTGTTATTAAAACTAAAAAGTTACATGTTTTTACCCATATGAACCTTATTCATGGGACCTCCAATCACAAACGTTAGGTTACCATCACTTGTTTATTTGTAAGTGGCTTAAGTCTCATTTCCCTCAATGTTTCTAAGATCATATTTCTTTTCAAAGGTTTTGTTATAAGATCTGCTAGATTCCATTCTAACTTCACATAACTAATGGAAATAGTTCTACTCTTTAGTAGTTGCTTAACCAAATTGTGTCTTAATTGTATATGTTTATTTCCATTGTAATTATTGTTTTTAGCTATAACTATTGTCGATTGGCAATCACAATGTATTGACACTGATGGAGTTGGTTTCATTCATAGTGGAATGCTCACTAAGAAATGTTTGAACCACTCAATCTCATTATTAGTCATCTCAAGAGCAACAAACTCATATTTCATTATTGATCTTGCAATAAATGTTTGTCTAGTTGATCTTCATGTAATCGCACTACCCCCAAGTGTGAATACATAACAACTAGTGAATTTTGTATCATTTGAATCAAAGACCTAGTTAGCATCATTGTACCCTTCTAGTACAACGACAAATCCATTATATGCAATGGCATAATCCATTAAACCTCTTAAGTACCTCACAAGTCTTAGAAGTGCATCATAATGTTCCTGATTTGGACATTAAGTGTACCTACTCAGTCTACTACGACATAAGTAATATCAGGTCTAGAAAAGTTCATCAAATGCAATAAGCTCTCAATTATCTTGACACATTGAGGCTGAGATATAGATTTTCCTCTATTTTTTATTAATTTACAGTTAGCTTCATAAGGGGTACTCACTATCTTGAAGTCATAATATCAAACTTCTTAAGAAATTTCTCAATGTATTGTTCTTGGGATAGTACTATACTATCTCACTTCCTTATGATTCTAATACCTAAAATTATATTGGTTTCACCCATATCTTTCATTTCAAAATTCAATCCTAGAAACAATTTAGTTCTAGGGAATATCTCATTCCATGTACCAAAAATTAACATGTCACCCATATACAAGAATATAATGACATAATCGTTATTTTTATATTTAGAGTACACATATTTATCAACATCATTAAGTGAAAAACCACCACATAGCAATAAATTATCAAGTTTTTCATGTCATTGTTTTAGTGCTTGTTTCAATCCATACAAAGATTTTAAAAGTTTACATATTTTATTCTCTTGACCAGGTACTACACAACCTTCAGGTTGAGTAATATAAATCTTCTCCTCCAAATCACCATTCAAAAAGGCAATTTTAACATCCATTTGGTGTATCACTAGCTTATGGATAACTACTAAGGCTAACAACACTCGAATAGAGGAAATCCAAGTCACACAGGCAAAAGTATCAAAATAATCTTTGTTGGATTTTTTAGTAAAGCCTTTAGCTACTAACCTTTCCTTATACTTCTCTATAGATCCATCAAGGTGATACTTTTTCTTAAAGATCCAATTACAACCATTAGGTTTTGCTCCGTTAAAAAGATCTACTAAGGTCTTAGTAATATTTTTCTTAATTGATTCAATTTCAGTCCATATGGCATTATCCCATTGTTTTGCATCAGGAGCACTAGTACCTTCTACAAAGTTAGTTGAATCATTATCAACTAGATAAGTATAGAAATCATTACCAAAGGAAGTTTCCTTCCTCTGTCTTTTACTTCTTCTCAAATCCTCGCCTAATGTGTCACCATTATTATTATCAATAGGTTCAAACTTCTCACTAACCTTTAAGGAAAAGACATGTTTAGAAAACTCGACATTTTTCGTTTCTACTATAGAATTACTCTCAAGCATATCACTTTTAAGAACAAGAAACCTATAGGCAACATTATGTTCAACATAACCTAAGAACATGTAATGAGAGGTTTTAGAGCCTATTTTCTTTTTCTTAGGATTGGTTAACATCACATTAGCTTGGCACCCTCATACTCTTAGATATTTAAAGTTGGGTTGATAACCTCTCCACAACTCACATGGGTTTTAACATTTTTCTCATGAGATATTCTATTTTTTTAAGAACTCACAAGACCCAACAATAATATAATCTCCTTCAGTTATATTTTCCCTAGGAGGATTGTTGTTTCTTGCTTTGCGCCTGCATTATGGTGTATGATGGCCCGACTTTCCACACACGAAACAATTTTCTTTCTTCTTAAAAGTGGGATTAGATCCGTTGGAACGATATTTTCGAAAATTATTTTTTCTATTATTGTCAACATCCAATTTCGTTCGGATAAATAAATAAATAATTATGAAATTTATTTTATCTTATTTATTTTTTATGTTGTTCTGTTTTATGTTATTGTTACTTTTATTTTTATTTTAGGTTATTTTGAGCCATTGTATTATATTACATTGTATTTTATTCTATTTTATTATATTGTGTTTTATTTTATTTATTCTTATTTTATTCTTGGTTATTTTAATTTTTTGGTTATTCTAATTTTATTTATTTATTTAGAGTTATTTTATTTTAGTCTGTTTTATTTTATTCTATTTTTACGTTCTTTTACTTTAATTCATTCTGTCAAATGTTAAAAAAAACAGAAAAGAAACAAAACATAAAAATGTCAGTCCAATTTGAGCCAACTTTAGTGTTTTGGCTTTTTGGTTCCATTACGCCATCTTCCATTCTGGTGCAAATCTTCTGCTCGTCATGCATGCTGCATCTACATTGTCTTAGCAAAGCAGAACAGGATCGGACAAGCCATGATTTTGACTTTAAGCTTCATCTGAAGCGTGAACAAGGCTAAAGGGGGAGACATCAACACAGAACCCATCATTCGCCTCTCACAAAAACTTCTATTCACTCTCTACTCACTAAACAGGGAGACACTACTCTCAACTCCTCAAGAATTTCCTCCATCAGGCACACCCACCATTCCCCAACCTACATCCTCATTCACTCATTTTTCCTAGCCGCTGCCCACGGTAACAATAAAAACTCCAACCTTTGTCTCCCTTGCAAGCCACCATCAACCGCTTGGATTCTCCACTAGACCTTGACTCCCCTCACCCAATCATCAACCATCATCCATATTCAC